ATAATAATAAAAATTGTAATTTATTTCTTGTAATTTATATCTTAGATTTATAATATGCTCTGTTTGCAAAAACCTAGCCGAGTACATATCTCTTTAGAATTGACACCTTTTGAGAGAAGATTTATTATAGAATCACCATATTTATTCTCCAAATAATTGCATTCCGTGGCAACTATTTGTGGAAAATAATTGCACGCACTATGTGCAACCTTTGCGATTACTTCTCGCGTGTCGTCATTTATATTAATAGTTTTATCCACAGTTTGCAATACAATTTTACAAATTATACAAACATCATCAGGTTCAATATCAGCAGATTGAAATGGTTGTCCAGGTACTTGACTGATTACTGAAATAATTTTAAAAAATTATTTTAAAATTATTTTAATAATTTTAAATATTACAAATTTTTTTTAAGTATTGAAGTAAATATTTCAGCAAGTATAATAAAAAATAAAAAATAAAAACCAAATAGTGCGTGCTAACTGCGCGTCTGTATAGTTTAAATTTGCCAAGGAAGGAAGTTTTAATACAGTCCATTACAATAATAAAAAATAAATTTAAAAATAAATTTATATTATATTAAGGATATTTTTTATACATATTATATAATCAGATTAACTATAGCCATCAGATATACATATTGCATATATTCTAACTCTATAAAACATCAAGTTATATAACTTGTTAGTTGTAATTTCTCATACAATATATATAATATAATTGTAATATAACACGTATATTATATTAGTTATATTGTTAAGTAGGAAATTACAACTTACAGATACGTTGCATATAACAACTTGATATTTATTGAAAATAAGTTATCTTATGTCATTAATCATTATTTCTCACTTAGCAATTATCTTTTTCTGATGCGAGCTTCTTTTTGGAAAATTTTTTTATTTGACAGTTAAGCGCATGTAATATTTGTAATATTTATACTTTAATTTTGCAATAAATATTCTGATATTTGAAACTTTGAAAATTTAATTTGATTTGCGAGTGACATTTAGTTTAATTGCAAACAACTTTTAAATTTACTAAATATTATATTTTATTTTGAGTACAAAGAATATATATGTGAAAATTATTAGAGAGAAAAAACAGATATGAAAAGGGCGACAAAATGTCAACTCACCAGCTAGAATCGCTCCGAACATGATCAAAACTTCCTTCATGCTTTGTCTCATCATTTCAAAGATAACGTAGTGAAGATAATTTGTATTTTAAATACAAATTGTGCGTAGTTAGATTATACTGAATGGTTGATGATCAAAAAGCATGAGTCGTGTATGGCACTTCTAGACTAAATGACATTGACTGCTGAATAACGAATTGTTATAACTTCGAAAACTATTTTTCAATTCATACATAATCCAACAATAAATTCATCGACAATAACTTGCACATCAAGCGTGCACACATATTGCTATCACGGCAACCACGCATTTATTTTCCCGTACGCATCACGCAAACTTTGTCCAATTTTCTGCACGATCTCAAGAGAGGACAAACATCTCCATGAATAAAACAATACAAATATATTATATATTTGCATTATGCTTATTTTTCAATTTTAAATAGTTTACGAATTGTTATCCT